ACGACGATCGGCGACCTATGCTACGACCGGATACCCGGGCCAGTCTGGCCCGATAATGTCTGGATTACAGGGATTATGTTGTCTACACTGACGCATTATGCCAGCACAACATTAATCTGTTGGCAATTGCTATACAAAGTAATGAGATAAGTATTGTTTAGACAGGTTTTTCTTATATTAAGTAGTAGGAGCCGGTTTTGACTGTCTGTGTCTCAGATTATAAGAATCCTACTATGCTACTCCTACTAATATTATAGATGCCAAAGTTTGTATGGATGTCAGGATGTTAACATGTTTGTTACTCTTTCACGCAAAAACTATGAAACGGATTTTGATGAAACTTAACAGTATTATTGTTTATGACGATTTGTGACAAACTTAATTTGACGCGGGTGAAGCCGCGGCCAAAACCTAGTTTATAAATACTTATTGTAGAATTGTGATAACTAATAATAAAGTTACTTTTAACTTACATAAAATGGTTCAGAGTAAAGCTTAAAGTCATCGCTCTATGTAGATAGATGTACCCAATGTTTCTTTTTGCTCGAGAGTATAACGCCCGTATTCGCAAACATTACTATGAGGTCTCACAGTGCGCGTGGGCGCACAGGGTGACACACGACCCAATCACAGAGCTCTATTCAACGCTGTGTGTTCGATTTGCTGCTTCAATTGTGAAGCATCGTTTGTGAATACGGGCGTAAATCTGTTAAAGTCTCAGTGATGTTTTTCCTTATTCGCGTTTATTTCCAACAGAAAATATAATATTTAGTTTAATTTTACTCCCCTATCATAGCAACTGAAATGATTCCTCAAGACTTAATCACAGACGCTCGCTGCCGTAATATCGCTAGAAGCTGTACAAAGGACACAAAGCTATAGATCAGGGATGGCGAACCTTTATGTATCACCGTGCCACTTTACAAAAAAAATTTTGATGTAGTCATAGACGTGCCATCAAATAACACCTAATGCTATCAACGAGGGGTATAGTACAAGTGGCGCCACTGGCGAGTGATAGGGCCTTTTACTTTACAGTGGCACTAACTGACGAGGGCAAATACGATAGTCCTTATTCAAAACATATTATTTACTTTTTTATTTTAGAGTGAACTAGCTTTCCGCCCGCGGCTTCACCCGCGTGAAATTTTGTCTGTCACAGAAAGACTTTATCGCGCGCGTCCCTGTTCCAAAAACCGGGATAAAAACTATTCTATGTCCTTTCCCGGGACTCAAACTATCCCTATTCCAAATTTAATCAAAATCGGTTCAGTGGTTTAGGCGTGAAAGCAAGACAGACAGACAGAGTTACTTTCGCATTTATAATATTAACTAGCTTTCCGCCCGCGGCTTCGCCCGCGTGGAATTTTGTCTGTCACAGAAAAACTTTATCGCGCGCGTCCCTGTTTCAAAAACCGGGATAAAAACTATCCTATGTTCTTTCCCGGGACTCAAACTATCTCTATGCCAAATTTCATCAAAATCGGTTGCGAGGTTTAAGCGGGAAAGCGTAACAGACAGACAGACAGACAGAGTTACTTTCGCATTTATAATATTAGTTGGGATAGATTTTGTGATTGGTGTCGTGTCCTAAATATTGTGACGCGTGCCAATGGTTCGCCATCCCTGCTATAGATAATCACAGCAGTGCATCTAGGAGGCTTTGTATAGAATATTAGGCGATCGGATGCCTCGGCATATTGAGAAGCTATGACGGGCTAAGCTGGGGCACTCTTGGCTGGATAATTTAGGGATTATACCGACTGACGTGGGCAGCTGATATGACAGGCTTAGACCGCAAATGCAAACGAAAGCGATTTAGATCTGATATGATTAAGTTAATCTGAGTGTGCAAAATGGATATTTTATGTAGGAGCTTAAACTGAAGAGATTAGAATAAAATAATTCAGGTTTTAAAGCACTTTGATGATTAATGCATTGGTTTAAACCTTGTAGGTTTTGAAGACACTTTGAAAAGTCTATAAATCCATGATTATATTGTTGTTGTGAAAAATCTCAATTTTTGCGCAAATACCAATAAAAGAACAAAATCAAACCAACAACGGCTTAGGATAAAAAAAAATCAACAGAAGTCCTGATTTTTATTCTTATCGTGTATTTAATTCACACGAACAACACGCGAGATAATACCATTAATTCACAATACAAAGTCACTAATATCAGTATAACAGTGTAGATATAAGGCAAAGCTTATAAAACCATTTGGTTCACGTGTATCGGGTGATAACTGTAAAGGAACGAAGCGTAGAAGCGAAATTAGACAAACGTTTTTAGGGCTGTTATGGCGTCCACTGCTGAGTAAATTGTATGTTGTACCTACTCAAAAAGAATAATTATCGGATATTTAAAAACGTTCTATAGAATATGCTTTTTCAAATTACTTTGGAAATTGGCTTCATATAATGTTCAATGTCAATAAAGGCTAAGTACCATTAGCGAGTAATTTTTCTTTTCCTTAAAAATTTTGGCAGTTTCATGGAAAAAAAAGTAATTACTTATTTTCCGGCTGAAAATTGTGCAGCAAATTGATTTTGTCGTAAACTTTCTCTACTTTTGTAGTTTTGTTGATATTTTTTATTTCTTATAACTAGAATCGTAGGAATAATGATTTTTTCTTCTTCTATGATCGTTTCTGGTGTCTCATTTCGTATCATCTTCAAAATGATTTCCATTATACATGTAATTTGTATTGGAAAACGATGAGCTTGTAACTACTGGGAAATTGGACCTTATCTGTTAACTGGTTTTAACTTATAACAAAAGGGCTCTCCATTGATTTTATGTCGTAATTATTAAAACACATAAACAACAAGTAAGTTGCGTAGCTCTACATGTTACCTAAGTTATACAATTACTTTTCTTACATAATAATTAATACACAATATTCAATCTGCCTTCATTTTTAATTAATGATTTTAATGATATTTTTTCGCCTGTCGTATGCTTGATAATACATAACACTAACTGTCTTATAAGGCTCTCCTTCTTTTTAATAGCTCTATTCGTGTCTTAACTGAGAAAATAATTCCTTAAAAATCTTAGAGAGGCTTGAACTCAGGACATGCCAAAAATTTAATTACATAACCACTATACGGAAACGTTTATCTTTCCATAAAAGAAGGACGTTCTCAGAGATATAATCGGCGCCAAGTTCATTACATAAACACTAACATAAGCCAATAAAAATTAAAATGCAACATGAAGATGCGTATCTTTGATGTAATAAAATCGAAACCAAGGCAAGTTCGATTTCACTTCGAACTCAATTGCCGCCTACCGTCGCCCACGTGTGTCTTACGGTAGAATATACGGTAGGCCCACCCCATACAAAAAAGTCTGCAGCCCAAACATTCAAGACACAAATATCGTGCCAATTTTTTAGATCTTCACAGATCTTTTTTGCCTTTATAACCAATCAAATTGTCTCTACAATCTAAAACTAATTAATGCTCTAGCTTCTCAAGAATCTAAAACTAGGTCCTAATCCAAACTAGCTTCTAAAGGAATAAATATTTGATTAAAAAAGGAAATCCAACAACTAAAACAGAATACAAAAAGTAAGGGAATTTGAAAAATTAAATTACTTGCGACTCATCTTAAGGATTTTAAAGATATTTATTTCCTTAATGATACTTCATACCTAAAGGAAGTAGAGGAATGTATTTAGTTAAAAATGCTTCTAATGAAGTCCGGCACCAACCACCAGCAAATTAAGCCAACTGACTCTACAGCTATTGTGTAAAACCCACGTAATGTTAAAATATTGGGGTTATAGAACCATCGATGCTATTAATTAGCTAGTAAACAAAGAATGAATGCCCGAGTTACATGGCTCAGATCATTAACGGTATTGGGGATATCGTTACCACAGATGTTGTTTATTTGTGAATGTAGAGCGCAAGTAATAAAATAAAATATTGATTGTGGCAAATAAAGAAATAGTTGCTTTATAAAAGTTATTTTCTTTAACTTTACTTATCTTTGAAGTAATTCTACCCGTAGATGCAATAGTAGGATAGTTTTTGTCAAGGACAGGAATTAAAAAGAAATTGAAACAAAATAAAACGAGCAAAAATAAAAGGCAAAAGCTTTTTATTTTTGCTCTCTTCGTAACCAGAATTATTAATTGCTTACATTTAGTTTTTTACTTACTCGTATAAATTACTCAACCTTATGGAAACGTAGATGGGCGAAAGTGAAAATTCATTATTAAAATTCAGCCTTCGAAGACTTAATCATAAATTATAATGTAAGGGTAAAATTTTAAGTATTTTAATACGCTATTTTAACGAATTAAAAAAGCATTTCCAAACCAAACAACTCGACGTTTCCTCCCAAATTAGGGGAGTCCCAAATATGATCGTAGCTCAGCAGTTATTATCCCTAAATTTCCCTGGAGATTGTATTAATTGGCCCCTAAATTGTTATTCATGTACTCAAAGGTTCATTTAGATCGTTATCTCCTTTAGACACGAAGCCAAAAATCCTAATTTACAGGTGTTTATTGGTAATCCTCCATGAATGAATTAGCGCCAACACTTATAGAGTTTTTTGATTGATGACGAACAAACATGCGAAGGGAATAAAAAAGGACCGTAAATATAATTGTGAGGAGAAATTTACTCGTGCCTATTTAAATTGCTTTGAAAGTAATCTGAGATTATTATGTAATCGTGGCAATTGAAATTAGATTTTTTCTCACGATTTGCCTTTATATTACAGAATTTCCAAGTAATACTTTAGATTCGTAAGGTATTGAATAGAGTATTTTTGCCTTTTTCATTCTTTTCAGGAATATTTTGTAGCAATTTAAAAATAATTATCTCACAAACTTCTTAAAAAACAGATTTTCAGCAGGCATCTAAGAAATTGAAAATAATATTCAAGCCTAAATTCTTAAAAAAAAAAGTTATTTTTTTACTCTATTCTTTGAAAGTCCTAAAAGACGCCATCTATTCTAAAACAATGTAACCACTTACCCGCTGCGAGGCATAGCACGAGGGGTCTATGGCCCCAGGGCGGTACATCGCCGCGCTGACTGCTGCCATCTGTCGGCTACCTCAGTTTGCCCTTCCACCGCGACATCGCTCTGGGGACAAACAAAAGAACCAATTAGCAGGTTGGAAAAGCATGTGCTTGTCGGAAAAGTTTATGTACTTTTGGCGGGAAAACTAAACGTCATGATTGCCACTTCTGTTATTTTTTTCAGGATTCTTTACCTTGAAGTTTTCGTGCATGCGCAAAATGAAACAAAATAGTTCAAATTCACTCAAAAAGTCAGCATTAGGTCTCAGCTCAGTAAAGTTTCAAGGAAATTAGGTTTTCAGGCTGACTGTAACAATTGCAATTAATTAATGTTAATAATTGCATTTTCGCACTATTTATGATACTGAAAAATGCAGCTTTTTCTTGTTTTGAAGAATCTCTATTTATTTCAACAACAGCTTCAAAACCATATTCAGTCAACAAAACAAAACAAAATATGCACGGAAATTCATTTTCCAAATGCGTTCTGTGACAGTTCACACCACAGGACCCATTCGTTGATCAATTCAGAGATTTATGTGCGCAGTTTTAAATTCTTGACACAAAATACAGTCATACAGCATACTGGCTGGCTGGAAGAATCCACAACGCTTTTAAAATGAAAATAAACAACATTCTGTTTTTGAAAACTTTCAAAAATTTTCTTAGTCTTGTTTTTTTTTTCAATGGTATTATCGTTAGTTGTCACTGGCCAAGAACTCTTCTAAAGGATATTTATGTGCATAAAATGCAGACAATTCATAACAAGGAAAAGTTATGTCTAATTTCTGAGGAAGTTATGGACATGGTCAGTGTTAAGGGCAACAGCAAATTAGCTGAAGAAATAATGTTACTAGGCTGTAATCAGACAAGTAAGCTCTATTTCTAAATAATACCTAAGTATTTATGTAAACTTAATCATGAATGTTTTTCAGTGACGTCTCTACCTATTCGGTAATTTTGCATTCAGAGAGATTTTTTATGTAAATTAGGTCACGAAATCTAAAAATAATAATATCACATATTCATCAATTCTGTTTAATTTTGCCTCTGGTAATTAAAATAGGTTCGTGATATTGCAGAGAAAGGACATCATCCATTTTGGTCCAAAATCAAAAGTGACAAAATCTCAAATATCTACTCGACGCACAGTGATGCTACAGCTTTGGTGCCATAGTAACAAATGCTAAGGCAGACGTATTCTGTCAATATACAGCACTTTTTTTTGTTGGCCGGCACTTTTGATTTTGGACCAAAAATGTATGAAACGTGGATGATGTCCTTATTGTCTATAGGCACCGAAGAAGTGGAAGAGAGTTATAATAGGATAATTTGGTTAAAATTTGCGTAGAAGATAACTAGTCAAACAAAATATAGAGCTGCTATTCAAACTGTTTTAAAAAAATATTTTGTGGTGTTTACACATTTTAAAAAAGCAATTTTAAATAACAATCATTGAATGTAGGTGCTAATTTAATAATCATTTTAAGCTTCTATGTCTCAGATCTTATCTGCCAAAGCTTATGCAATCCTACAAACCAATTTGTTCCACCATAGTCGCTTACTAGACGGATACATAAAAACAATACTTAAGTTGTTGACTTCGTTTTAGTGTTCCGCATAGTGTGTTGCACCTGTTCTGTGGTTTTATCAATGTACTTGCTTAGTTACTTAGAAAGGATTCTTAAGCCCAGCTGTGAATTAAAAACCATAAGATTTTTAAATGTGTAGGTAAGTGTGTGTAAGTATGTAGGTTTTGAATTTTGCATCCAAGGATGTGGTTATTTATCCAGTTTGCTTAGGCATATTGAGTTAAAGGTCAGTAGTCACAAGCAAAAATATCTTCATCCCTCTAAAAAACACAATACTGACTACTACAAGAGAGTCAACGTCAAGTGTTAATAATAAACTTATTAGTACTGTGACCTTTAGGACATCACTTAAATAATCACCCACGTAATGAAATTACTTAAATTCAAACAAAATAAAGTCGTTCTGAGAGACTGCATACTGATGCCCATTTTCACCATCAACCCCAAATTTTTAAGAGACCCCTAATAAAACAAAATTACTGCTATGTGTTACCATACGGATCACTTAAAAATTAGGGTTTGATGGTGAAAACGGGCATGAAACTTTTCATAGAGCCACATTAAAAGTAACGACTCTAGATGTACAGAAACAGCTGACTGTCTTCATACGTCAAAGGTAACCTACAGAACCCAAACCACCAGCTCAACCTTCCACTTGCCCTGTTTTTTTAGCCCGACCGCAGCCCACGGCCATTATTGTGCAATGCGCGGGCGCATCCGTATGACGACGTCAGTGCACTCGGGGTCAGCGACCCGGCTTCCTAGCGACAGTTCCCACACAGGTCGTATGATGCTCACCGAGTAAGCGTTTGTACGATGAAATTGTAGCGTAATGGAGGTAGACTAACAATTTGCTACTGGTGAAATAGAGCAGATCGTGACTCTGCTGTGGAGACATGATGATCAAGGTAGACCATTTCTTACGCATTTACGACCATTTTTTGCGCACAAGACTCAGCTGTCCATATATTGTGTGCCTTTAGCATCGATACCAAGTCTGATTCTTGGATAAGTTAAAGCCAGTACATGAAGTCCATTACTACGATAAAAGAAAAAGATTCAAAAATTCTGCTACAACTAAGAAATAACAGAAAGAAACAGCTTTAGGAGTATCGGGCTTATAACTATGTAAATCATCCTTGCAGTTTAAAGGGAATATTCCCACCTCTCATTCCCAATGCTGCACAGCTCCTGTGTATCACATACAGCAGATAGAAACAAAGAAAAACCCAACCAATGAAGGTCAAGTAGATTGAACAGTATCCTTATTATTATTCAAAATTGAATACTTAAGAGTTAAGTGAGACTTTTGCCCAGTATCTCTAACGGTAGATCTAATAAAGGTCTGTTAAGTTCCATTTAAAGCATAATCGATGTTGATCGATTCCTAATGGGAGCTTGAGTCGCTTCCTCGAGAGTTGATGGTATCAGCTGATGAATCAATCAACTTTGTCTTCCTATTTTCTCTGTTAATGTAACTAACCTTTGAGTTTAATCGCAGATTAGTTTTCTCTATTTGAACTCGCTATTAACACCTAGGAATGTTTCTAAATTAATGTTTGAAGACGAGAAAACTTTGTGTACAGGCGACGGCGCGTCAAGGTACACCATCTTATGTAGTTTTTGTAGAAGTGAATTAGCAACAAAATTGAATAATTTTCTGTATCTGGGTACCTTTTGTATCTGAATTTAAGTTATTATCATTATTATTAGTTAATGGCTCACATTTTCTCTGAAGATTTCCTGAAAATTCCTTTCCTGGAAATACTCGAAGACATTTGCAATGATAGCATCCAACTGGTGAATACTTACTAACTTCCGAAGTCTTAATATCTAGAATTCTATTATGTACTTCATTTTTTGGTACGTATTTAATACATAATAGACTCCTAGTTTGCTAATTAATTAACATTCCCTATTCTGCACACTTGACAAGGAAAGCAAAATTTCTCACGGTGTTTTTTCTTCGCAAACCTTAGGGTAAGTTAATTTTAGAATTGAACCTGTAAAGGCAAAAAGTACATTCCAAGTTGATGGGCTTGTGACGCGTTTTAATTATGTAATTGGCTGAGTCGACGCGAAATATAAAGGTCGCGGGTTTCGATCCCACGATATACAGTCACTTTTTCCAGTGAAATATCATCCTAAATTAATAAAAGCATAAAATGCCTGCGGTTTCATCGTGTTTCTAGTAATTATCGCACTAAAATTATGCTCGTAAATGTAAACCGTTCTTAATTCACTCATATTTAATTTTCTAATCAAAATGTAATATAGAAATAAAATTAGTTAACATTAGCATTCTAAAATAGCATAGACAAGCTTTTTTCACGGTTTTGTCCGCGTGTAATTCAGTCACAGTCCGTTTTAAATTAATAATAGTAGTAGGTATACAATGTACCTAATGTAGGTATAATAAATAATTAATACTTACTGTTTAATTTCATGAAAATCCGTTAAGTAGTTTTTACAAGAGTAACCAACATCCATCCTCAGAAACTTTCATATTTATAATATAAGTAAGATTTAAATTATGTTGTTTAAATAACTATAACTGAACCAACTTAATACTCATAATTAAGCTAGGAATTTTAGACTGAGTTGCACCAATTTACTTTGACCGTAACTATAACAATAAGCGGTGCTTTTTGTATGGAGTTTAACAGATTTTTGACGTTTGTCAAAGTTAAAGTAAGATGGTGCAACTCAGCCTAAGTCTATAAAGGCTAACTCATTAGTTGCTCAAGATCGTAAAGAGTTTCCATGTGTTTTCTTGTAGCATTTGAAGCCTTACATTAATTGCTACGTCTGTTTATAATTCTACGGTTCGAGTTAATTTCCAGCCGTGTAATCATAGTAAAGGTCGGAGGAACTGAGCTTAACCCTTTAACGGCTTTGACAGGTGGATTTTAAAGTAATTTTCAACCTTGAATCAAAGTAGTAAGGTTGAAAATATGCTGGCTAGGTTAACTCACCTTGCATGTAATATTACTTTTTTCTTGTAATTGAATGTTATGCCATAGGCTTCCTTTGTGTACAAACTGTAATAATGTAAATAACACACGGAAGATGGCTTAATAAATTATGTAATTGATCATTTCATTAGCATTCGTGTATTTTTAACAATTTTGATAATTGAGACGTTCGTAATTGCAATCGCAAAAAACATTCCTTTCGTTTTGTAGATGTAATAGTAGTAAACATTATACAGGGTGTTAGGTAAATGGGTATATGAGCCGACACTAGCCCATGTTAACGTGGTCATATAAATGGTATGGTGAAGTCAGAAAATTGATATCTTCATTTTAATTATTTTAATTTTCATACAAATCGGATTTTATAAAATTTATTTTGTATGAAAATTAAAAAAATCTAAATGATGATATCAAATTTCTGACTTCACCATACCATTTATATGACCATGTTAACATGGTCTAGTGTCGGCTCATATACCCATTTACCTAACACCCTG